AACAAAACAATACCAAAACCGAACCCTGTCTCCAGCACACATACGCACATGCACGCTTACACAAATCACATGACGGCACCTCTTTAAATGGGCTTAGCTATTTATAGGGCGTTAAACAAAACAATACCAATACCCGAACCCTGTCTCCAGCACACATACACACATGCACGCATACACAAATCGCATGACGGCACCTCTTTAAATAGGCTTAGCTATTTATAGGGTGTTAAACAAAGCAACCCTGTCTCCAGCACACATACACACATTCACGCATACACAAATCACATGAAGGCATGTTCTTCATGTGTGTTGTGTATGCGTGTATGGTAGATTTGCCAGAGGCCACTTGTAATTATATCAACAATAATTACATCCAGACAACCAGTTATTGTTTAAATAATGTGTTATTTTAATTGTATTTTTATACGTTTGTCTTTCTTTGTTATACAGATAATACGAATACATGTAAAACTCTCAGGATAATTCTTAACAACTAGAAATGGCCCCGTTCCACAAATAGGTTCAGTTTTCTAATATTGTTTTATACTTTTAATAATGTATTAGTGAATGTTTTTTATTGTACTCTTTATTTAGTTATCTCCGTATCCATAAATACTGAGTAAGATCAGATTTACATCATATGTTCAATATCACATGTGTATGCATATACGTAAGTATGATGTAAATCTAGAGATTATGTAACTTTTGTAATTTTTATAACTATACTCGTATATAACTACATGTATATGTGAGTTATGGGTGAAGTTTATACTATCTGAAATGTAATTATTATACAATTTCATGGGTAATTCATTTTCTATGTTCATGGAGGCATGACTGCGCACAATAAATCGGAGAACTATCATACCAGTATTTGTTGATCATGACGTGTCTATCTACAATCATCAACAACTGTTACATTTGCTAAAAATCGCGTTGCTTCCACACCTTGGTTACCGGGCATCTGTCAAAGCAAAATTGAAGGCGCAGCGTGCGCCACCTTGTGGATGAGACAAAAAGACTACTTTGATCCGAGAAGTTTGTCCGGGGCATATCTTCTGTACTAATTCACATTGAGTAACTAACACAAGGACATCTACGAATGGCGGATTGCGAGAAGTATGTATCGGAACACATTCCTAACAGTAGGTACATCCTGACACAAGTGTACTGTTTGTTAAATATAGAAATCATTACCGGTGGGGGACTATGGATTGCCTTGTTTCATCATGATCAATAATGAAGGTGTTCGAAAATTATCGAATCAAAAGCTGCAGGACCTGAAAATATAAAACCCCAGTTTCTAAAGGAAATGCCTAATGAAATCTCGCCTATCCTTACATTATTAATCAATCGTTCAACAGAAACTGGTGCTATACCATCTGACTGGAAGTGACCCATGTATCACCAATTAATGAAAAAAAGTAACAAAGTACAAACCAGAAAATTACAGGCCCATCTCTCTTACTTGCATATGCAGTAAACTCTTAGGGCATATAGTAGCAAGCAACATCATGTCACATGCTGATCGTAACATATGGTAGCAAGCAACATCATGTCACATGCTGATCGTAAAATATAGTAGCAAGCAACATCATGTCACATGCTAATCGTAACATATAGTAGCAAGCAACATCATGTCCCATGCTGATCGTAACATATAGAAGCAAGCAACATCATGTTACATGCTGATCGTATCATATAATAGCAAGCAACATCATGTCACATGCTGATCGTAACATATGCTAGCAAGCAACATCATGTCACATGCTGATCGTAATAACATTTTATCCCCCTTCCAACATGGCTTCAGGGGTCACGATCATGCGAAACGTATCATATAGTAGCAAGCAACATCATGTCACATACTGATCGTAACATATGGTAGCAAGCAACATCATGTCCCATGCTGATCGTATCATATAGTAGCAAGCAACATCATGTTACATGCTGATCGTATCATATAGTAGCAAGAAACATCATGTCACATGCTGATCGTATCATATAGTAGCAAGCAACATCATGTTACATGCTGATCATAACATATAGTAGCAAGCAACATCATGTCACATACTGATCGTAACATATAGTAGCAAGCAACATCATGTCACATACTGATCGTAACATATGGTAGCAAGCAACACCATGTCACATGCTGATCGTATCATATAGTAGCAAGCAACATCATGTCACATACTGATCGTAACATATGGTAGCAAGCAACACCATGTCACATGCTGATCGTAACATATAGTAGCAAGCTACATCATGTCACATGCTGATCGTAACATATAGCAGCAAGCAACATCATGTCACATGCTGATCGTAATAACATTTTATACCCCTTCCAACATGGCTTCAGGGGTCACGATCATGCGAAACGTATCATATAGTAGCAAGCAACATCATGTCTCATGCTGATCGTAACATATGGTAGCAAGCAACATCATTTCACATGCTGATCGTAACATATAGTAGCAAGCTACATCATGTCACATGCTGATCGTAACATATAGCAGCAAGCAACATCATGTCACATGCTGATCGTATCATATGGTAGCAAGCAACATCATGTCACATGCTTATCGTAACATATAGTAGCAAGCAACATCATGTTACATGCTGATCGTATCATATAATAGCAAGCAACATCATGTCACATGCTGATCGTAACATATAGCAGCAAGCAACATCATGTCACATGCTGATCGTAACATATTGTAGCAAGCAACAACATGTCACATGCTGATCGTAACATATAGTAGCAAGCTACATCATGTCACATGCTGATCGTAACATATAGCAGCAAGCAACATCATGTCACATGCTGATCGTAAAATATAGTAGCAAGCAACATCATGTCACATGCTAATCGTAACATATAGTAGCAAGCAACATCATGTCCCATGCTGATCGTAACATATAGTAGCAAGCAATATCATGTTCCATGCTGATCGTATCATATAGTAGCAAGCAACATCATGTCTCATGCTGATCGTAACATATGGTAGCAAGCAACATCATTTCACATGCTGATCGTAACATATAGTAGCAAGCTACATCATGTCACATGCTGATCGTAACATATAGCAGCAAGCAACATCATGTCACATGCTGATCGTAATAACATTTTATACCCCTTCCAACATGGCTTCAGGGGTCACGATCATGCGAAACGTATCATATAGTAGCAAGCAACATCATGTCACATGCTGATCTTAACATATAGTAGCAAGCAACATCATGTTACATGCTGATCATAACATATAGTAGCAAGCAACATCATGTCACATACTGATCGTAACATATGGTAGCAAGCAACATCATTTCACATGCTGATCGTAACATATAGTAGCAAGCTACATCATGTCACATGCTGATCGTAACATATAGTAGCAAGCTACATCATGTCACATGCTGATCGTAACATATAGCAGCAAGCAACATCATGTCACATGCTGATCGTAAAATATAGTAGCAAGCAACATCATGTCACATGCTAATCGTAACATATAGTAGCAAGCAACATCATGTCACATGCTGATCGTAATAACATTTTATACCCCTTCCAACATGGCTTCAGGGGTCACGATCATGCGAAACACAACTACATGTATAAGAATTCATTGAAGATGCCACAAAAATATTGAAACCAGAAAACGGACATATGTTCTCGTTTTGGATTTCTCTAAGGCCTTCGATAAAGTCAGCCATTTAACCTGTTAATACATAAACTTCATCACTTTGGGATCAGGGGGGAAGTTAATACACGGATAAAAAAACACACCTTCATGACGAATAGGACAATAGCTGAATTACTTGAAGGCGAACTATATTCATATGTACCAGTCGAGTCGGGGGCTTCTCCGGGGCTCAGTCTGTTTTTTGTATTATATAAATGACATGCCTCTCAGTCTAGGTCTCTTCTCCTCAGTCAGATTGTTTCTTGTATAGCCATTGTAAAAGAAAAATACCTGGCATAACAGTTGCAACTTGCCAGACACGACACATTCACTCTTTCTCCTGTCACATTCCACATTGTAAAACGGACTGCCGCAAATACTCATTTCCCCCAAGTTACCTGTGGCGTGTACCTAGAACTATAAACTATGAACATGCCTGATAACTCCACTTCAGAGATACTTACCCAGACTAGAGGAGATTTGTCTGCAAGTGAAAATAGTCAACTCAGCCACTTTATATCGTTAATCCAAAAACTTGAAGTGAGACTTCAACATTTAGAGCCAATTGACAACAAATTAGGCCGGGACAGAAATCACTCGCTCTCATTAAAAGTGAATTCATTGGAATCTGAAATAACTGTGTTAAAGGCCAAAATGTGGAGTTGGAGACAAACTGTACTATTAGTGCCATGTACCATCAAGAACTGTTCCGGACTGGAACAACCTACATTGTAGGTCCGTATTCTTGAAGCCGTTTTCATACTTAGGCATGGATTCATTACTCAAACCAACTTTTTTTTTCCAAATCACTGACAAAATAAGATTTTTTTATTACTTTATATACGAAACAAGAAATAAGGCTTCAGCACAAAATTCTTGCTTGAGCAAAAAGCATGTATGTATGTTTCAGGTACCCGGCCGACCCTTTAGTTTTTAACATCGACCCTATCTTTTTTTATATCTCTTGAATGCACTCAACATAATTTAATGCCATATACTAATTTAAAAGACCTAAATATGTAATGGAAAATGAATACAAGTACTGGTCTGAATCACTGTGTTCTGAATTTCTTTTAATTTCTTAAATAATAGTCCCCTTCAAAATTAATAAAAAAAAATACCCGTTATTTTTAAATCCCCACCGACCTGCCATTAAAGTTATCGTACCTGAAATATGTACATGTGTATCAAATTCAACAAGTAAAGGAGTGCACGTGGCAAGAAAAACAGAAATGGTAGCGTGCTTCCTATTTTCGTTCCGGCTTTTTCATTCCTTATTACCACATTTCGAAATATATATAGACCAATCAGGAAAAACAAATATGGCGGCCACCAGGGGGTGTTTATCGGGAAAAGTTTATTTATCTTTTTCGGCCGCAATTTTGTAAAGTGTTTGTGTTTGCCAGCATGTACGAGCATCCTAATCCGGCTGGTGAATTAGTTTTGTAAACGAAAATGCCGTTTTTTAAAAGAAAATCGGCAAACGGTAAGTGATTCGCTTTCCATTTCGCTGACCCGCAACTCAGCTGACTGCCTAATTTGGGGGGAGGGTCTTCTCCTTATCAGTCCCAGTAACAGTGAAGGGGTATGAATTAAGATTACTGCATAAGTGATATATAGTTACATGTTATTTAAAGTTCCATGAAAGTGGCCTATATTCGGGATTATATCAGATTATGTTTGATGGCAGAAAATAACCCGGAAGAGGATGTATATTTTTGTTAAGCTCAGCTATTCTTAGAGGTAGCACCCTTTACCCCGTTTTTGTCAGTCATTTGTTTCGCTTCAGTTGAATAGATAGTAAAGTAAGAACATTGTTGATTTAACGTTGTGGAACTAAATGTCGATTTTGATTAAGATCCATTAACATAGAGTTTAAAACTTCGCGATAAAGGAAGACCGAATTATTAGTGATGAGGTACACAACCTCACGCCCAATAACTCATGCGAAATGGTATGGGCTAAGGTTTAGGTAGTCGGGAGTAAAACTCTTTACATCAGTTCTTTCTACCACCCAAAAACCTCTGACGAAGAGAGCATGTAATCTTTTATAGATTCAATAAATGAGGCCTCCAAAATAGAAAAATATGCAGCCCTTATAATAGGTGGAGACTTCAACCTTCCCGGCTAGGACTGTAAGAACAAAGTTCTGAAACCCAAAACAAGTCATACCAAAATCCATTATGACTTTTCAAACCTACTGGACGACACTGGTCTAATTACCCCAAGTTGTCAAAGAACTGACCCGAAATGACAATATCTTGGATTTGGTCATAACAAATTCTCGAAACCAAGTGGCCTCACTGAAATCATTCAAGGCCTTTCTGACCATAACATCGTTTTTATTGAAATTAACCTAACACCCATAAAACTTGGGCTACATTCGCGTTACCGGTTGAAACGGTACGTGTGGCGCAGAAATTTTCCACGATAAACGAACACACTTGGACCGTTCTATAAGCAGAGCTAAAAATGCACAGTTTCGGAGAATAAAAAACAATGTATCAAGAATATTATGCCCTTCTCTCACGCGTCCACTAAATTACATAACGTATCTTAAAAACTACATGTGACTTGACATTGTTTTAGAAAGAAATAACGCAAACTAGCAATATTCAGCAGTTTAGTTTCGGCCAGGTACGTCTGGACCCCTCAATCTACACGTACCAAATTTTCCTGAGGTCAGCCTCGGTCCAAATCTGTACCTGTCGTTTTCTTTACAGGTTCAACCGGTTCAACCGTTTCAACCGGATACGCGAATGTACCCTTGTACAAAAATCGAGAAAAAAATCCCTCTGTATAAAAATGCCGACTGGAATGCCATTAAATCTCATCTAGGCAATGTGTATAACTATATGTTAACAAACAACGAGTGGGATGCAAATTCAATGTGGGAATATTTTAAAACTGAACTCGCAAACCTTGTCAAAGAACACATCCCTCAGAAAACCATAAAACCAAAAACTAGCCTACCATGGGTTACCCTCGAAATAAAAATGCTCATAAGAAAACGTGATAGGCTATACATAAAATCTGAAAAAATCTGGGGATTCTTCATTAAAATCAAAATTTAAAGACATAAAACATCTAGTTCAAAAGAAACTCTGCACGTCTTACTTGGATCTTATTGAAGATATGATAAACCCCAATAGTCCAAATCCTAATAAAAAATACTCTGGTATGAGACGATTCTGGTCTTACATCAAAGCCAAACGATCCGATCACTGCATCATTTCCCCACTAAAGCAAGAGGGCAAATTAATACATAATCCTGTTGGCAAAGCACAAGTGCTCAACACACAGTTTCAATCTGTTTTTACTCTACCTGAAACCCTCAATGATCGCCAGTTTACTTTTAGATGTAACATGCCACTTGACCATCAATTTCCAACCATGTCTGATATTGAGATCCATGAAAATGGTATATTAAAACTTCTCAAAGGTTTAAATCCAGATAAGGCTTGCAGGACCCGATGACATAAAACCAAAGGTACTGAAAGAACTTGCTAACAATTAGTAACCCCCATGCATTCTATCACTAATTTTTAGGAAGTCCTTGGCTACAGGTCAATTGATTGGAAATTGGCAAAAATATCCCCCATTTATAAAAAAGGACAGAAATTTAATCCAGGATATCATAGACCAATTTCACTGACACGCATTTGCAATAAAGTAACATCATGACGCATGCTGATACAAACAACATCTTGTATCCTTTCTAACATGGCTTTCGCAAATTTTGATCGTGCGAAAGTCAGTTGATCGAATTCATCGATGACATATCTAAAAGCCTTGACGAAGGAAGCCAAACTGATATTCTCATTATGGACTTTGTCAAGGCTTTCGACAAAGTCAGCTATTCCCTACTCATCCACAAACTAAAGAACTATGGTGTAAAATGAAAGGTAGTAAACTGGATTGAGAATTTCCTTCTTAGCAGAAAGCAATCTGTAGTTGTGGAGGGGGAAATGTCTGACTTCGTTAACGTCCATTCTGGTGTGCCCCAGGGATCGGTCCTCGGACCAAGTTTATTTTTTTATTTCATTAACGACATCCCTGTTGGCTTAAACGCTACCATCCGCTTGTTCGCAGACGACACTATCGCTTATCTAGTTGTCAAGTCTAACAGTGAGTGATGCTGAAACTCTACAGGAAGATGGCCTTCCACCTGAGCAAGTGTAATGTGTTGTCTGTGAACAAGGGGAAAAACCCCATTATCCATAACTACATCCTCCATGGGCATACGCTAGAACACGTAGACCAAGCAAAATACCTGTACTTGTCCTAGGCGTGACGTCACAATTGAAACAATTGAAACTAACAACCAATCAGATAGTTGATAGGTCATATTACATTGGCTAATAGGCAAAACAAATGTTACATGGGTATATTCACTGGATAGCACAGTATTTTATGTGATAAATATATATATATGTAACGTATTCCCAGGTAATTTTTACTGCAGTTTACTTTTTTTCGTCTGTGATATGAGGGTGAATTTATCATCACAATGACAACATAATACATGTACCTATATTTGACTGGGTGGAAAATTCCCGTCAATATACAGTATGTCAGTAATTTCTAGGTGATGAATTGTTTTATTAGACTATTTGCAATCATCCATATTCTTCCTTTATAGCCAAAATTGAAAAAGTTAATTCATAGAATTTTCAATGAGTTTATTAAAGGATGGTTTGCCTTTGGTGATCTGTATTGGGTACATATATTCATTTTTTCTCAAATTCAGGAAGATGGAGAAAGAAATACACGAAACTCCTTGCATTGGGTATTTAACTCATTCAACCCTGAAATTTCTTAATGAACTCATCCAACATTTGAATTGGAAAAGTTCAAATGTGTCTTCAGGGGTGAATAATGTATATATATACGTATTATGTATTAAGTAATTATGTATATTATGTACATGTTGTCATTGTAATGATAAAGTTGTCCTCATATTACCGATGGTGAAAAGTAAACTGCAGCAAACCTTTCCTGGTATAATGTAATAATGAACATTTGTACTGCAGATGTAACATACAGCTAGTGAATACATTTAAGCCATATTTATATCACGTGAAGACGAACAAAAGTTTTAAGGGTCACCGTCAGTTTGATGGATTGGTCTAAAAATATTTGATCTGTTAATTGACCCACATCTTGCAGGTCTGATCTGCAAAATGAATTTAATTATCACCTGTGCGCAACCATCTTTTGACCCTTGTGGGTCATACAAATCTCTCGCATTCCATTAATATGAGTCCCACAGATCAGCTGCCTCTGTGCTCATATTACTTTCTCCCTACCTTGGAAATGTTAGTAATAATATTCCTTTGGGAAATCAATTGAAATACCTATGTTTGCATTTGGAACCCAAATTTTTAAAAGTTATAGCACTATCAGTGATGTTTATAAACACTTTATGTTATTAGATAAACAAAAGGGGCCTGCACAACCCAGCCCAGACCTCGGAGGCAGGAAATCCGTCAAGAGGACACCGTCCAATAGAAGTGGAACATCTTTAGGAAAAAATGACCGTTTTAATGGAGATGTTGGTAAGAGGAACATGATTGATTCATATGATTGTGTTTAACCCTTTTGCCCCTGTGTAACTTTAGTAAACTCTGCCATGTATTGATCTGGTCGAGTCCATTATGGTCTAAAGGTGGTGAAAGGGTTAACCCTTTTACCCCTGTGTAACTTTAATAAACTCTACCATGTATTAATCTGGTTGAGTCCATTATGGTCTAAAGGTGGTGAAAGGGTTAAGGATACTGTCCCACTACATTGTGGTTTTTCGTATCTACAGTTACCTCCCCTTAACTTTCGTTTAGATATAACTGTAGCACAGTTGGGTCATGACACTTCCATTGACCAGGTAGCTCAACTAGTTAGAGCGATAGTATAACAATATGAAGTCCAGGGTTCAATTCCAGGTCTAGCCTCACTAAGTTTTTCCACTCAGAACACTTATTTATTTTGTTTATTCCATTTTTATTATTTCTCATAATGGTCCAACAAGGTACATGGCTTTCTTTTCAGAAATGATCAATCAAAGCTAAAGTCGTTCTGGAAAAAAGTTTCCAACACTTATTTACAGTATAATTGACAGTGGTGCAGGGCTCCTTAACCAAGGAACAAAGTTACTTCATTGACATAGAGAAAGGATATAACGTTAAGCTCATTATCAATATTAAGCCCTCTTTACTTTTTAATTAGCAGTGTAGACTGTACACATGCTAGTGTTGGGTTACATAACTGTTTAATACAGATCGATGAGCATCTGATGATCTGATGTGAATGCATATTATGATATTTACTGGGAATTAATTGTTCTATTCTAATACTTCATGAAACGCTTATGCACAGTTGCACACAGCACAGTATACAAACATCCTAGACTGTGAATTCTGGGACTTAAATATTTGAGTCCTTGTTGTCTCATGCCTTTATAAAACTTTTTTTTTTAAAAGCCTTGCAGTTCTCGTTTGAAAATAAGACTACAAAAGTCATTGACTGACAGCTATAGACTGTCAGTGAGATTTACTTTTGGTAGGCTAGGGCTGCAACGATATGTATCATATCATGATACTTTTTTGTGTGTCGTGTCAAAATATTTTGTTTGCCTGTATCGCGATACACTAACAGTACTGAAATTATCAATAAGTTTTTATCAAACTATAAAAAGTGTACCTACAGTATGGTTTTTTAATCCTTCAGTAAAGACATGGCCCCACTAGTACTGTGCAGTTATATTTATACCCAAAAGTACTAGAAATTATAGAGAAATATATATTTCGATAGTATTTACTTCTGAAGTCTTTGACTAAACCTGATAAAATACTGCAGTCAATCGTTACGAAGCTGATATTTCAAGCAGATGTTTGTATGGTGATACGTATGGTAGCATATCATAAGCATCATACCGTGATACATACTGTATCCTGATGTATATGTATGGTTGCAGCCTTAACTTTTGGACTGTACCACTGACATCACATACACTGTAGGTGATCATGATTTGCCAAGGGGTTTAAATCCTTATCACCTGATCAGCGGCGTCCATTACCCGCGCAGGGTTTCAGGATCAAATCACTGGCTGTCACCTGTGTACTGTATTTGTTCTAACAAGACACTGTAAATGAACAATTATACACCTACATTATTGTATTTACATAGACTGAATGATCTCTACAGTAATAACCTGAATGTTTTGTTTGAAGGTATGGTTGCAGGAAATCAATCGACTGGTCATAAAAATCGACCTGCCAAACTACTTCTGTCTCCCGAGGATCTGCAAGATACAGAAGACTTGGGTATGATAAAAAAAAGTTTTTAAATTAAAAAAAAAAATCTACTGAAAACATGAAATAATAAGCATACATATATGTACATTTCAACATTTCTCTTCAAGTTTGAAGTAATATTTAATATGTTTCTGATACATGTGTACATTTAGATTGATCTAGATAAATAAATCAGAATTGCAAATGTTGTGGAAAATTGTTATAATTAGCATTATTGAGGAAAATCCACCACTGAATTCTTTTTATAAACAATGTAGATGTTTGAAATAAAAACATACAATTGCATTGGCCCATCTGAATCGAGTAGCCTGCTACATACATACATCGTATATATACATACCAATGAAGTGAAGCCCCCCACCCCCTAGTTGGTTGGTCTATGGGAGCCTGCAGTTGAGCATGAAATCAAACAGGACTTGTGTTGCCTCTCCTGGTTAAACGTCACTGTACAAGTGATATTTTGTAATGTGTCTCTGAGTTACAAATCGTGATGCACCGCATGACTAGTTCTGCTACAGTCGGAAATTATTTATATGGTACATGTACAGTAGTATAATAAGAAAAACAATCGCTTCCCTATATGGTAAGATTTATAAATGTACAGCCCTCCACAATCCTCCTTACTAGACTTTTAGCAGCTTAATTAAGATGATTTTTAGCTCACCTGGTCCGAAGGACCATGGTGAGCTTATGCCATAACGCAGTGTCCGTCGTCCGTTCGTCAACTTTTCCTTTAAAACGCTACTAATCATGAACGACTGAGCAGATTTTGACCAAATTTGGTCAGAAGCATCCTTGTGGGAAGGGGAACCAATTTTGTATAAATGATGGGTGTGGCCCCCCTAGGGGCTGAGGGGCGGTGCCCAATAGGGGAAATATAGCAAATTCTTTAAAATCCTTCTTATTCTGTAGGAATGAAAGGCTTTGGTCCATTTTTTAGTCTGAAGCATTCTTGGGTAAAGGGGAACCAATTTTGTATAAACCGTGGGTCTGGGCCCCTAGGGGCCTGAGGGGCGGGGCCCAATAGGGGAAACATAGCAAAATATTCTTTAAAATCCTTCTTCTTCTGTAGGTATAAAAGGATTTGTTCCATATTTGGTCTGAAGCATCCTTGGGTAAAGGGGGAACAATTTTGTATAAACCGTGGGTCTTGCACCCAAGGGGCATGAGGGGCGGGGCCAAATAGGGGAAACATAGCAAATTCTTTAAAATCCTTCTTCTTCTGTAGGAATAAAAGGATTTGTTCCATATTTGGTCTGAAGCATCCTTGGGTGAAGGGGAACCAATTTTGTATAAACCGTGGGTCTGGCCCCCTAGGGGCCTGAGGGGCGGGGCCAAATAGGGGAAACATAGCAAAATATTCTTTAAAATCCTTCTTCTTCTGTAGGAATGAAAGGATTTGTTCCATATTTGGTCTGAAGCATCCTTGGGTAAAGGGGAACCAATTTTGTATAAAC